TATTTCAATGGAATGTGTTCACTGCGTTGACATTAATATCTTCTTATCAAGAGTGCATCCTCCCCTTTACTCTCTTGACTTTTTTCTTTCTGTGCTTATTACCACTATTATAATCACCATTATTCGTCGTAATTGATACCCTTCATTCAAACATTCTCTCAATACTATCGAATTTTCCATTTATCCTGTGCGGACATATTAATAATGATGCTATCGTTTACCTCAATAAATGTCTCCAACTATTTCATTTCACACATTCGTTATTTCATTATGAATGTCTCATCGCAGTCTTACTATCTGGTCTTTAATGCATATCATTTTTTAGTGGTCACTCACCTGACACGTTACAATATTGCTAGGGATTGAGGAAAAATTGCTTAGCTGTGTTGACTGATTGGTGTTGAAAGTATGAATTCAGTTGGTGAACAAAGGGTCCGAATATCTGGAGCACGGAGACGGACGTTTGTGGAAGTCACGATTTGTCTGAATAAAGTGTTTCACTTATCTAACAGTGCTTCGATGAATGTCGTTTACAGCATTTCAAAAATTCACTCAGTTTTCTATTCACCATCTAAACCTTTCCATTTGGTTCCTTCTCCGTGGCTTAGTGATTTGTTCTCTAGCGCTTGTCTGACTGAATCTTATCATTGGTATCCTCACTCATGTCTTACTTATGCGTTTGATGCACATCCACTCTTGTCTTCTTTTCTAGCTAGAATTCACCAATATCTTATTTGACAATTTGACATCAAGTATGGAGCCAGCGTGAGGGTTTGTCAACAAATATCTGCTGTGGCCTGTTTGAAGTACTTTTCATTCCTCGCAGTGTACGCTTTTCAGCCGTATAGAGGAAGAGACTGACTCAGCGTGGGTGTCACAAAGCCACATCTTGTGGTTTATCCTGAGTCAGTGCAGACGAATTTCAAACTGACTTCAGAGTGACAAAAGTCTGTCTCCTCTTCCCTATTCTCGCTGGTTTCACGTATTTATCAGTTCCACCTGCCTGCAGTTGAAACGATGCTTCCTAGACAGTGAAGGGAAAGGAGACATCACTTTCAAATTACTTGCGTTGATGGTGAAACCAGTGTAGATTTTATGCATGAGGAAAAGTACATTAACAGCATGTTATATCACGAACAATAGCGCATTTCACAAATTATCCACTCCGGAATCTCTCTAAGTACACTCCAGGTGCGGCATGCACTCTAAGCCTTCGAGATGGTGAAAGAGGTTTTGGAAGTCTTCCAACTGAAGTCATAGGAATGGTGTGTATGTCCCAAGGCTATCAAATTCAGAGGGAGTCATTCCGGTAGAAGTTTAGGCGTTGTTATTTGATCAAAAGTGTCCCCATGGGAGGTCAATGAAAACGCATTAGCAGCAATATACGTTTTGCTAACAAGCATCAATCACTGTCATCCATTGAAACAGATATTGATATACATATTTATACATGCAAATAAATTACATGGGAATGTAACTACTTGTTCGCTCTGGGAAGTAATAACATCTACCGAATAATGCAGTGTTCCATTCATCTCTTATCGTGAATCAAGCTAAAGTATTGATATTCATCAAGTTTAAGTATTAAGATTCTTTGATTGTGATAATTAATCCAGGCCAGGTCATGGTTCTCCTTCAACCCATTATCATCAACGCTTTACGTTCACTTGAGCCAACTACATTTTGTTGATGAAATCATGAAGTTAAGTCGTTATGAGTGAGTCAAAAATTGTCTATGCTTATTTATTATTATTATTGCACCCTTGGGTTCCTAGTGGAACACAGGGCTTCAACTGCACGTCTCCATTTGCCTCTATCTTCTACCGTACTTTTCGCCTGCATCCACGTTAGTCCATACTCTTTCAACTCCTCTTTACACCATCTCCTCCATGTCATTCTTGCACTGACGTCCCACTTGCCGCTTCACTTTCGGGGTCCACTCGAGGTCTTGACGTGCGATGTCACCCAGCGGTCTCCTCAGCGAGTGACCGATCCATCTCCACTTTCTCCTGCATATTTGTTGGGCGATTGGTTCTTGTTTTGTTTGTTCCCATAGTTCTTTGTTGGTGATTCTTTCCGGTCCGGCCATCTGATCTTCAGTATAGAGCCAGCGAAGACAGTTGTTGATAAAGGTCTGCAACAGGCTGTTGGAAATATTCTTTGTGACCCGCCCGCCAAGTTTCTGATCCGTGTAGAAGAACTGACTGGCTTGACGTTGTTTGTATTGAAAATCCGAATTTTGTTGTTGATGCTGGCTGAGTGACGCAGATTTCCCGATTGATTTCAGGTTGATGAATGTGTTTCTCGCTCGCTTTCCCGATTCTCGCTCGATTTGACATCCTCGTCCGTTCCAAAGGCGTGTATTTGAGACCATGCTCCCTAGATAAGTGAATGAGGTGACCTCTTTCAAATCCCTCCCGTTGATGGTGATTGACGCTGGATGTTGCTGTTGTTGTTGTTGTCGGTTGATTATTTTCATCACCTCCGTTTTATTTCATTTTTTTTTAATTATAACACCCTTTTTCCAAACGGTGTTTGTGTTACATATATGGAATTTTCAGCGTGCATTACAGTACATTGCATCTAATTACCTCATAAATTATATAGAATTTTTTTAATCAAATGATACATAAATAAATAAAAATAAATAAAATAAATAAAAAAGAACAGCGTAGAGTTTACATTTCAAAAAATGCACCACAGGATGTGAAATATAAAGTTGATGTGTGATAGAAGATAAGAAGAACAGTGTGATAGTAACGAAGAAAGGAAAACAAAATCTAATGGGACTATTTGTTAGAGTGTAGCAGTAAGTTTATCGTGTTATACCTAACTGATTTCCCATCACATAACAGCTGTGCCAGATATGGTATTGTGGAGTTTTTGTATTTGGTGGTCCCAGCATACAGCCTCCTATAGCTGCTTCTAGTTCTACCAGATGAAATGCAAGGAGACACCTGCGTATATAGAGGATGCTCGGGGTCCGACAATATTATATTCGCTAGTTTTTTACATGATATAATATGTATATCCACAATAGTGTTAACCAGTCGGTTTAACGATATCCCACTTGTCCTACTGACGGCTTTTAGTGCCCTTCTGAGCAAAGCAAAGTCTTTCTTAAGTAGTCCATGAAAGATTAATGGGGAGCAGTAAAGGGGGATGGGTAGAATACAAGAATTTGCAAACTGAGAAAGCAAAGACTGCTTTATGCCAGACTGCCAAAATTTCTTAATGTTGAACGTTAATTGAAACATCTTTCTAGTAACTAGCATGATGTGGGAAGACCAGGAAAGATCAGCGGAAATACTCAATCCAAGGTTTTTGACATTAGATGTATTTTCAACCTCTGTGCCGTCAATGATAGTGGGGCCATGTGAGCTTACTAGTTGCTGTAGGTCACATTTACGTCTGAAACTGAAATTGACTACCTGACATTTAGCCGGATTAAGCTTCTATGTTCACTTGGGGTCCTGTCTTCGTCGACTGCTTCTTCGACCAGTTTGTCGGTTTTCGCTTGTAAGTATCTCATTATCCTTTGTATAAATGTGCTCCATTTGTATTTTCCTATCTCTCTGCATTCAGTTCACAAATTAAAAGGAGTAAGCGGAGGTCTGATTCAGAAGTGTGAGTTAGTGAGTGAGTCAGTGAAATGAATAATAATATGGATTAAAAATAGCAATTTATTGCAAATGATGAATTACAAAGAATGAATGCTTCTACGTTACTCATTGTGAGTGATTTTGAGCCATATCAACACTTGTCTCCAGCCGTCGTTTGTTCCTACCATCTCCTGGACTATAAACAAAACATGTCTATGATGAATTATCTTTGACCGCTTATTAGTTAGTGTTCAAACTGCAAAACGATTCTTAGTGATCTCAAATTTAAGAAATTGGTTCTTATCATTTCACCCCTGTTGTCCTTTATTGCTAATCCTAGCTGGCCCTCTGAACTTCAATATCGATCCATGATACGCAGCAGTTGATGAAAGTGAAGCGGTAAAAAATTCACCAAAATTATTGACCAGAGCAATCATCACTGAACATTGGATGCTGACCCTCGCTGTTTAAGTCGACCCGTTTAGCTGAAGGCTTACGGTCAAGCATCCATGCCATATGGTCGTGTCACGTTCGTACACGATCACTCACCAGTTAAGCAATCCGCTCTTAGTCCATTTCGGTTCCAAAATATATATCGTAATTGGACGACCAATTCAGTTGTTTTGTTTTGCCTTTGGTTGACGAGAAACGAATACTATAGAAGTTGTTGGTATAAGATCTTGCGTTAGTATACTCCGTACATTTCGCGAACATCAATACCGTTAGCCTCTTAAATAGCCTGCATCCTGTTGGAATCGCACTGCTTGATGTACATGTCAATTGCCTGAACCGAATGGAGGCACTACTCTCACAATAGTGGTGGAAATACAAATTATGTATCATCGGTGTATTCGAGGATATTCCTCACCTTGCCTTGTTATCATACCTTCAAGTGAGGATATTATGACGTGAATCATGTTTATAAAGAAGATGAGGAGCATTATTTTGATAATTGTATTCAACGCCCACAAGTCAAAATCAACGCCAATTATAAATGCAAAACGTAATCGTCTTTTTATGCTTTCGCTAATGAAAGCAGCTGGAGACAACTAGATCTTTCTCTAGGAATGTTTATCAGGAAAGTTTTATATACAGAGTTAAAATTGTTGCTTCAGATTCCATCTCAAGAGCAGCGATTATAATTCCACAAAAATGGTTGTCAACTACTCATATCTATCACCTAGTAGTATATAGTACAACTTTGTTTCAGTTTTCATGCATTTTGTATCTGCTTCAGCGTTTTTAATTTTTCTCTGTCTCCGTTTGTTAGTTGACTTCGTCCTTGTATTTCAACATGAAACTTTTGTACTTTGAATGGTACTTTCGATTTGAAAGAATCAGCTCATAACTACACTCATCAACAGGTTTTGTTCACTGTTGAGTGTGTTAGTACTACACTAATGTGTTAAGCGATTTTCATTGATAAATAACGCACATAACTGGATGATTACGACTGAAACCACTCGATTTGAGATGTGATAACACACTGAAAAAGGTGAAGCATTGTGAACAATCAATAAGATAATGAATATTATTGACAGTTTTGATGAATTTATATATGCACAAATGTGTGACAATATTCTGAGTGAGAGATTAAAAGAGAGGAGCTAAGTTAAGTAGGTGAAATTCACTGTTATTTATTTTCCTGGCTACGTTTCATTTTTGAATGTTTGAGGAACGTTGATCGATTTTCATAATGAGAAGATGAATGTATTTTTATGGCACTTTCTAAACACGCTTTTCCGTTATTATTATTATTATTATTGTATTTCATGCATTTGGAGTTTAACTAATGGATTCAGCGATTCACCTTCATTGCATCCGTCTCTCTGTTACCACATTCAGCTAGTATCAACATTCTCTAGCAGAGTTTATCTTCACAGTCTCCTCCATTTTGTCCTCACAGCCCAACCCATCACTTCCTTTTTGCTTCACGCTAGACAGCCTGCTTGACTTTCGATTTCACTTGAAGGTCTTCCAGGTTATATCCGTCTCATCTCTATCTTCTTTGGCATGTTTCCTGGTTGACAGCTTCTTTAATCGTTCGCTGTCTTCCAGCGTCCCTTGTTGTACCAACCTAGCTGATCCTCAGTTTCCCATTAAGGCAGTTACCAGTGAAAGTCTGCAGTCTGTTAAAGATGTTTTCATTGATGCACAACAAGTCTGGGGATACTGAATCGAAATGAGCTGTTCCCTTATCATTTATTTACTATATTAAAGATGTAAATAAGGTTTAATACAGCGTGGTCATAGTTTCTGCGGCGTTATCGTTTAAGTACCGATTTTCTGAAGAAATCCTGCTGAATTGAATTTTAGATTTTCCCGTTGATTCATTGTACCGAAGTGCTCGATCTCAGCTTGACATGTCGGCTTCTTGTGCAGATGCATCGACGATGTCTGGGCATGAGTTAAAGTTTGATTGGTGGACGGTGATTAACAGTTGAATCCAGGATCCGCATCTCCTCCTTTCTGGGACTTGTTAGCTTTGCGCATCATGGATCGCTAGTCATCCATTGCTAGTCACCGTTCACAAATTAAATCCTGCGGAAGTTCACAGGTTTACATTATCACTTTTCATTTTATTCCTCAGAGTTTCCATGGGGAAAAGGGACTTCAAAATATAATTTCAAAGTCTAGCTGTTGGTGGTTTTGTTCTTCCGAGTTGGAGCTGTCAGCCTCACGCCCAAACGTCTCTTTATACCGGCATTATCATTGGCTTACAGAGGTTTAAGTGTCGTCAGTAGAAGATGGAGTCCCGGACCACGTACACGGTTGATGAGCGTTCTACCACGCAGCAGAGGTTTTCGTAAATCTTCAAATTTGATTAGGTGTAACACTTTTTATCTTCACATAACGCTATTTTCTGATTAATTTTGAATAATTCGTCACGTATTGTTAAAGTCAATACATATTGTACTGAATTTATCATGTCTGTGATGATGTCATTAAAGTTTCTCAATTTTCTTATTATTATCATATTTGTCAGCACAAATATGAACAGTAATGCAGCTGATGAGATTATGGAACGTTATTATATAACTGAAAAGAAATTGAAACGTGAACGTCTGGAGGGACAACCATTCTCTGTGAGTCAAGTGATTTGGGTGAGGCCATTATGTGTTCTTAAACTCGTTTTCATTGTTAGTTCGCCGTCGACACAACATGGATGGTGTTGATAACAGTCCAAATCGTTATTATGTTGACCATAATGTAGGCTTAAATTAAAGTTAACATGCATTTGTCTTGTAGAAATGTTCTATGTGAATTCTTCATGAAAAATGCCTATGTGAAATATCTTATTTTGTAAGTTCGTTGTTCAACATCGATTACGCTCTATTATGTCTACATTTGTGAATGTATTTCATTGAAAATGACAAATAATTATCATGTTATATGGAATTTAAACGCATTTGTACACTACCTGAAGAATAGTGAAAGCTGTTCTGTAATATATTATGGAGTGGAAGGAGTATATTTGACACAGAATACAGGGATATCTTGCTATATATTCACTGACTATTATGTGAGCTGTGGCGTATTCCTCAAAATCCTTTCAAGTTACCCAAAATAAATTCTGCAAACAGGCTGATTGGTGTGTGCTACTAATACCAACTATCAGTAGTATATATATATATATATATTCATACGAGACATGGTCATCGGCATAAAACAGCAGATAGCAGGTAGACAGATTCGATGTTTGACAAAGGAAATGTTCCAGCGTTGAGGAGATACATGAGAGAAGTGAAAGTAACAGAAAGAAACACATTATGAATGCAGGGCAGAAGTAGCACAACATGAAAGATCTGCACAAATGGTGGTTTAAAGATAAGCTGTACATTACTTCGTTATATGGTGATACCAAATTGGAAATAAACATTCCTTCACCAAATCCACCATATTCAACAGCTACAAGAAGAGGCCCACGAAATATTTTCTCCTAATGTTATAAAAACCTGCATGAATACGGACACTTTGAAACGAATAGAAGAGAAAAAGACAGTGAAACAAAAGATTATCCAGTGCACTGACGAGCAACAAAAACAGGAGTTGAATTCAAGCTACAATATGCTGAACAAAAGAGTGAAGAAGAGTGCCAGAGAAGAAAAAAGAAAATATTATGAAACCATGGCAAACGAAGCAGAACAAGCTGCAGGAAAAGAAGACCTCGCCACACTCTACCAAACAACTAGGAACCTTTCGGGCAAACGTTCGACACAGATTAAGCCAACAAAGGACGATTATGGAAAGTCAATCAGCAAAGAGGTGGAACAGAGAAAACACTGAGCTGAACACTTCAAAAGACTTCTAAATCGTCCGCCACCTACAACACGTCCAGCAATACCAACAACGAAAGCAGAACTACCAGTGAACATTGACCTCCCGACAAAAGCAGAAGTCCTGAATGCAATCAAGATGCTAAAAGCAGCAGGACTAGATGGAATCTCGGCAGAAGCTTTGAAAATAGACCTATAGACAACAGTGGACTTGATGACGCCACTGATGGAGAAGGTGTGGAAAGAGGGCGGAGTACCCGAGGATTGGAAGAAAGGATACTTTTCCAAACTACCAAAGAAAGAAGACTTAAGTCAATGCAAAAACTGGCGCAGAATTATGCTCTTGTCCATCTTAAGTAAAATAATATGCCGCGTCATCCTTGAGAGAATCAAACAAGCCAACGCGGATGAAAAACTACAACCGGAACAAGCTGGATTCAGGAGAAGCAAGTCATGCATCGATCGAATCGCCACTCTACGGATCATAATTAAACAAAGCTTGGAATGTCAGTCACCTCTCCATCTCAGCATCATTGACTTTGAAAAGGCCTTCGACAGCATCTATCGAGAGGTGATTTGGCAACTACTTCGCTACTACCAAAGGGGTCCCATCGACAATTATACATCTCATCCAACAGCTATACGACAATGCTGCATGCCAAGTAATCCACAACGGGAAACTTACGGAAGCCTTCGAAGTGAGGACGAGAGTGAGACAAGGCTGTCTACTATCATCTATGATCTTCCTGATTGCAGTAGATTGGATAATGTGACAGACAACGGCAACCAACGAGGGAACAGGCATAAAATGGACTCACAAAAAAGACTTGGAGGATCTGGATTTCGCCGATGATATATGTCTGATTTCCCATAAACTGGAAGATATGCAAGTGAAAAGTAACAAGTTGGCAGAAGAAGTATCAAAGATAGGACTTCACGTGAACATAGATAAAACAGAGATGATGAAGATTCCTGGCCAACAGCAATAGAAACAGAAACATTAACAGAAAACAATCAGCATAAATGGGAGGAACCTCAAAGAAACAACATCCTTTACCTACCTGGGAAGCATCGTTTCAACTACAGGCCAACGGAACTGACGAGGATATCAAAGCGAGAATTGGGAAAGCAAGACAAGCTTTCATTACTCTTAAGTCTGTGTGGAGGTCGACAGCCCCACTCAACATCAAAAGTAACATCCTGATTTTCAACTCCAATGTAAAGTCAGTCCTACCATACGATTGGAAGATGCAAAACCCTATGTTCCTTTTGGAGTTTAATTATATAATAATAATTTAAACGGATTGCGTTATCTTCAGTTTTTTTTATGGAGAGAGCTGGAGGACAACTCAGCTTCACGTGTATTACATGATGTCTCTGTTGCTTCTCGCTGCTGAGTTCTATAATACATGAATCTAAATCAGCTTATGACTGGGGAGAATGATAGGGAGGGATTTGTCATGGCTGATTTACAAATGAGGCGAAAGCATGTGGGGTGAGCATAGAGTGGTGTCATTGATGTTCGTCATGTTCCAATAAATACTCAGAATCAAAATCAGTTTCACAGAATAAAAGCAGACACAGGTTACATCGGATAAAGAAAAAACTTTGTAGATTGTCAATTTCTAATTTCGACATCCGATTGAGAGAATCGAAAAACTAACAAAATTGCATTATTGTGAAACCGTCACTCTGAAACCGTATGGTGATTCCTACGTACTCAATCAAAACGAAGTTATTTTGAAAAAAAAGCAAAGTCAATGCATGTAATGGTGAAATGAGGATGTGAAAACTGATATCATTTGGATAGCGTGTATTCAAATTCGTGAGTGTGTGTGCATTTGATTCTATGAAGATTAGGAGGAGATTAAAGCCAATATATATTCAGTGGACCTGGAAATTTCGATGACACACAGGCCAGACAACTTCTTAGCTTCAGTGAAGCAGTAAGAAATCATATCATGCCAGGTAGGGGGATTCTTCAATCGTCAAGTTGACATCTGACACGACCCACAGAGTTTGATTAATAATAATAATGATTTACTTTATTCCAAAAACAGTACATGTGATACAGAATAGAATTTTCATCATTAATCAAAATATTGCATCTAATTTCCTCAAATTATAAATAAAACTAATCACACAGAAGATCCTCTGCATTTACAATAGCGGTTATGTCAGAAACATGCAGCATATAAAATAGAAATAATAATAATGATTACAGCCAAGGTAATAATAATAACTGAAGTGAAAATTGCCGTGGGCTTGTAACACACTGTATTTTCAATGAGGTATAGAAATCCTAGCGTGTTTAAAAATATTGAATATAATGCCAATAAGTAAAGAAACGGGAAAATTGGTACACCAAGTAGATTTTGAGAATGGGAAACATTGAAAAGATGTAGACAAAATCAAGAAATGTAGATATGCAGAGATTTTGTTGAAAGAGACAAAGAAACTCAAAAGGAATATTTCAATGAAGTTCAACTGAATTTGTGGAATTGTATTTCTGCATCTACTGTAGACAATAAAGATGGGTGTGGAGATAAACACTTTCGCTCTTTTTCCTATATTATTCCACCTGAATCTATGCGTTTAATATTATTGTATCCTTTTTATTTTCCTACCGTTGAGTTCTTGTGTCTGCTCAAAAACCATTTGATTATTTGACAACTACGGCTTGATATGAAGTATTCTGATAATGGACATTTTTCGATGAAATGCGTAATGGTTGAGAGATGGCTGTTCGATATTTGTCAATTCCCTTTCAGACTAGGTGGTTTCATCCCACTGCTTCTCTTTCTCTTTGTGAAGAGGCTTCAAACGCACTGTCTCATTGTTCGCATACTGCTTGGATTATCAGTGAGTTTCATTTTTATTTTTATCTTCATTTTGCAAACAGAACCAATGAAGCGTAACTGTTATGTTGTGTAGGCATCTACTGTTACCATAAATGTACTAATTTAATCAACCCTTTCAAAAATAGAAATAGGGAAGATATTTGCAGTTTTGATAATACGAGCTCGTTCTGTTTCGTGGAGTCTCTTCTTCTGCGTACATCGTTAACAATTCAACTAATTATGTGTTACAACGTTTCTGAACATACCTTTTACAATGATTTCAAGTTATACACAGCCAGAGAGAGTATAAGCAGCATAATTTCACGAGTGATGTAAGTAGACATTTATTTAGTGTCAAAGGAGGGGAATTCATATTTGTGTTGGAAACAAGGATGGACTAGAGACAAAATACAAGACATAACAACATAGTTAATTTTCACATATTCTGGTAAAGAATTCAGGAGTGTAGGGATGAATAAGAAACGAAAACTATAAGATAGATACAATAATATAACTTAGTATATTTAGCAGAACCTTAGTAGTAAGTTCATCTTGACAAATCAAAATCAAAATCACGATTGAGTGGGATTTTACGCAACAGAACAACAAAATTACGGTTACCAGGCAGGGAAGTGAGAGATTAGTCACAATACCTTTCTGTATTGCATATATAGATTGGATTGAAGCTTTTTGATAGCAATGCCTTCTGTCAAGCGAAGTAATCTATTGTTCATGTTAATGGATATAAACTCGGAGATGTCATAACACAAGCCTTATTCGAAAAGAATTTATCATTTCACAGAATACTTCCACAGAAATTGACGATGGGATGAAAAGAAGACATGTGTGAACAATATTTCCATATAAATCTCAGTGAAACTGAAATAGATCAACGTAACACTTTGTTAAGTCAATTAAAGAGTAATCAAAATTAAAACACTAAAGGTGTATGCTCGAGTTCTCTTCTTATCTTTATTAAAACTGATGCCGAATCTTGTCTGAGTCACAAACAGTCATAAAATAAAAAATCCCATGTTTTCGAATGAAGATTTGACCTCATATTTCCACAAACTGATCATGAATTTTTTTGTTACACATTGTGAATGTTGGAATATACACCTTGCTGACACGTCAAGTGGTGAGAGGTTCCGTATATGTAGAATGAAATGAACGGGTATGAAACTTCAAACAATTTGTAAGCATATTCAAAATCGATTAAAATGAAGTTACAGTTCACTGAAACTGAAATTCATTTGCATATCAATTTGCAGTTTTCAATTAAATACATTCATTTTGACAACTCAGGTATTCTTTGCCACACATAATTATTAAACTGCTTTCGAGTAGTTACGACGACCAACTATGCTTGGAAACTAATGTAATACATATTTGATTTATTACTCAATCAATAACTGCACAATTGTTAACCAATGGAAAGCATACTCAAGTAGTCTGTTGTCCAGAATCACGACTGTGTTTACTGCATTAATTTTCCTCTTCACTGTTTCAAATCAAACTATATGATAAATTAAGAGACGTCGGTGGCACAGTGGTTAGGATTCTCGCCGACCATGCACATGGTCCGGGGTTCTAGCCCACGCCGGAGCACACCTGATATCTATGGTCGGCCTGCAAAATTTGGGCTACCGATATCCATGCTGAAAATTCCATACTTGTACCAAAAATACAGTGTGGAATCAAGCTGTAAATCAAAAAAAAAATAAATAAAATTAAATTAAATTAAACTGCCACCCCACCCTGTTTTCCAGACTAGATTGCCACTCAGTGAGCGATGATTCCATCGAAACTTTTGCTGTGATTTCACTTTCTTTGGATCCATTACAAAAGCTTGAGCGTTGCATGTTAGAGCGTACGGTGATAAAATGATGTGATATTTTGTTTCTGACTTACTACAAAGAATGTTCCTGATGTGCTTTGAACATACCTCAGCATCGGGTGACTCATACACAATCACGAATATTTAGGAGAAAACTTCAGCTGGCTTTCGTTCATTTATTCATTTCTAAGCAGCAGTGAAGAATCATTCTACTGTGGGTTCCAGCAGATTGGCTGACTGTTTGTAGGCTGAGTTGTTATTTAAGAATACTAGATATTTTGTGTATGCTTTAATGTGATTTATCTGATTTCAGTTACTTAAGCTTTATTGTTATTTCCGCTTCCATTTTGTTACAGGTAACAATGTGGTCTGTGTGCTTCGCTGCATTATTGGGTCCCATTAACTTAATGCCTGGATTAGTGTCCCTAGGTGTGACAATTGTTCTGTCAGTTATCACGGTTGTTTTGGCTCTAAAGCTGCCACAGCTGAACGGAAAAGGATTGTTTATTTCGCTGACGACTCTACTTGCTGTCATATGTTTGGTATTCGCTGATGCAGTTGCGGGGATCATTGACAAAAATAATAAAAATTTATTAGAAAAGGTGAATGTTGCTAATTATGAGAAGAGGAAAGATGTTTTCAGAGTGATTACAGCGTAGGATGAAATCGGTTATTCTCTGTATAGAATTGTTTCGCTCACTACGATTTTCTTCGCAATTCCACTGAATATCCATCTAGTGAAAAACAATCCAATATACCAAATCTTCATCTGGTATGGATTCGACATCCGTGAATGTCGATGAATTTTTTAGGGTTAGAAAGTATTTTACACCTAATGATGACATTCAATTGGTTCCATAATGATTATTGTCGAAATCTAAATATCACTTGATTTGACGAGAGTGTCTTAGTGATAAAATGTTGAAGTGATGGATGGTTGTTTTACGTGGCGTACAATCATTTACTTTCAGGTATTTTACTGTCGTTTACGATAATATTTTCGGTCGTGTTGATTCAACATGACTCAAGGACTCCTCTACCTCCAAATGAGAGTTATAAGTCTCACAGACCATTTACATTATAATCAATGCACTAACAAATGTTTGAGAATACTGCGATTAACGCTGCTATCCATATATGCGTAGATGTGTCAAAATGGAATTTTGTACAGAAAAAGGAAACATGCGTTTCTAACTTTATGATTTAACTATTCTTCACTCTTTTGTTTTGTACTTAGCAGTTGCTCGCGGTACAAGGAATACTTTCCTGCCTGTTTGTACTAATTGTAAGTTGATGATTTCGTCAGCATAATGAGTGTCATGGTTATCTTTGAACTGGACATGCAAATATCATATATGACAACCTTGTGTCCGTGAAGCAGTCACTCGTATTAGAAAAATTGACACCTAATCTATATTCATCTATGATCCCATCAAAAGTATATTTCACATAGTTTACAAAATTGAGCTTACACTCATATACAAATATTTAATAGAGATTGATAACACTGATCAAAGTATATTGTTAGTTACTAATACAGAAAAGCAAAGTAGATGAGTAGGGACTATTTTTGAGAAACCAGCAATAGTCTTACATAATCGAATGGGTTTACAAATGCTTGGTTGAATTATGATCAGTAGTTTGAAGATAGGTGACATGGGAACTGGGAACAAAAAACTGAAACTGAAATGCGAAAAGCGTAAAACAGACTGCATACAGTCTATCGTACAGCTTGTTATTCTGGTAAACAAAGATGGGACGCAAATGACTACTAAAGCCATGATAAAAAAGCAGGCTGAATGAAACGTTTCTGAGCACAAAATTCAGGTTTCTCCTAAAGGATTGCTAAAGCTGCAGCGGTATGATGACGGTGTATGTGAAAATCTTTCGAATAACTTGGTCGGAATTTGTTTATGAATTTGAATGAAGTTTGTGCAGATAGTGTATGGTGTAAGTATTCATGGGCACATTCACACGTAGTTATTACTCATGCAATTGATGCACTTTATTACTAATTTTTAGTTACCACTTCCCTCAGTTGTCAATCTACATTGTATATATGTAGATACTCTAAATAAGTGTACATCTTTGAATTGAAGTGACAAAATGAGTGGACCTCTTTGTTGTTGCCTCATGAGTTCTTGATAACATGAAGTATGCATTTTTCATACTTTTGAAAATACCATTCTACATTACGTAAATTTTGAGCATACTTACAGTAGTCAAAGATATTCTTTTCTCACTTTTCGCACAACAGATGATGTTTATCTGCGTCAATAAACGACAAATAATTCTGGAGCCTCTGTCATCCGATTGCTCAGAAACATTTCTAGCATTCGTTGTCTGGTGTACGATAATATGCCTGTTCACGCAAATATTAATCTGCTTTCCAAATTGGAGTGATGGAAAATGTCCGGTGAAAGGAGAAAACAATGCAAACATTTTAAAAGTTCTGTCCATTCTTTCCATACAAGAACGTTAAATAAACAGTTGTATTCACTCTCCTTATATTGACTACCGATTTAAAATCCACCTTTATTCTCATCACTGTTTGATCCTCTGATTTCCTGCAATATCTGAATTCATCAAATATAAAATTAGAAGCGGAAAATGAATTAAATCCAAATTTTTGGTTTGTTTGACATTTTTTCACTGTTATTTGAGTGTATGTTAGAACTGTGATAGTGGCTTGTTCATTGGTCAGTGTTTGTCTACAGAAACAGTGAGACAGAAACTCGTACAGTTCAGGAAATATGATTTTAGAAAACTCATGTTCCACGTATTTGCAGCACGACATCGTATCTACTGATATGGTGTTAGCAGCTTCCGAGAAGTGTTCACTCCTTCATCAAACAGTGTATACTGCGGGTAAATTGCATGCAATCTTCATATCAGTCTGAATCAAAATAAATATGTGACGAGACAGACACCTCCACTGAGTATACAGATGGCTCAAAACCAAGTGGCATAAAAAGAATGTAGGTAAACACTATATGATATCTGTAGAGCCAGTTAGCGGTTCTATTGTCCGAGATTAAAACTCGACTTGTCTGGCGTCTTGTCAGTAACTTTTAATGTGTTTGTCACCCAATACCGATATTTATTCTACTCAGTATTGATTCTTTGATTTCATGAGATGGAGGACTTATTTCTATCGCTCAAAAGACATTTGAAATCCTCTGAAATGTTTCTTGATTAATTGAATTTAGGTACCATCAGAGGGCAAAAAGGCAGTCTAAATTGTTTATTGTATGAGAGTCGGAAAGTATATCATTGATATCCTCATTAATTTAACTCTGTTTGCCTGTATGTTCCACGGAATCTCCATTATCTCACTCAGTTATTCACATTCCGAATTTATTTAAAATATCATTGTGTTGTCACTGATGTTCATCCTTCGACATCAGGATCAAGCATTTTCATTGTACACTAGTAACTAGTGTGATGTGCATTAAAAAATACCCCTATTCAATTCATGACTGTTCCCGCAATTATGAGTACCAATTGTCGCTCCCTGCCGGCTAAAATTAACTGTCTTCAATCGCTGGTGTCTTCCATTATATATCATAATACTGGGATCATATCACTTCAAGAAACATGGCTTCATGATCTATATGATGACAATCTAGTGTATCTAAATAATTTCAAACTATTCAGACAAGATCGGTGTAGTTCCAGGAAGAAACGCGGTGGCGGTGTCGCCATCTTCATCAATTCACAATGGTGTACGTCTAATAATGTATGTTTCAAATTCTCTAGTGACAATATTGACTGTCTCACCGTTAAGTGTCGACCTAGACATTTGTCTAAATACAACTACATTTACATCTCGAACATGTATATTGCTCCTGGATGCAACTCCACAGAATTATCTTTATTTGCGGATGAATTTACTTCCCTTGCTGCCACCTCCTTCGGAAATTCCTTGTCTATAGTTACTGGTGATTTTAATTCTAGTGACCACAGCTTCCTAATTTCACTTGGACACGATAATATTGTCAACTTCCCGACTAGAATGGACAACACTCTTGACCTTGTTTTTACAAACGATGCAGGAATATTTGAAGCTCGAAAAAGAGCCCCACTACTAAATTCAGATCACTGTATCATAAGAATATTGCCCAAAGTATATGGAAAGCAGCACAAAAGGGTCTTCTCATACCTTGGAAAGAAAACACAACACAGATGTTATTCCCATGACAACATACTGAACCTAAGGTCCATGTTAAAAGACACAAACTGGGATCTATTTACTGAACAAGCTCTTGATAACACAATTGCCAACATAACACATTATCTTAATTTCTGTCTTGATGTTTGTTGTCCAAAAGAGACAATCTTCTTAAAATTCGATCGCTTCTCCTCTTCTCAACTCAAAAAGCTCCGCCGTGAAAAAGAAAGGTTGTTCAAAATGAAAAACAAATCTGGTGTTAAGAGAATGAACACTTTGATTAAGCTTGAATTACAAAGATTGAATGCTCTCTATAACCAGAAGTTTCTTTCATGTAAATCCCCATCAAATATGTGGAAGTTATTAAAGGAAATCACAGGTGGTAAGCAAATGTTGAATGATATTTCTGTAGATGTTAACATGCTAAATGAATCCTTCATATGTATCCCAGCAAATGTTATGATTCCTAACTCAAATAGTGTAAACAATGACTGCTTCTCATGCTTAAACACATATGATGTCCTCAAGTGTCTTCAATCTCTCAAGCCTACTCAGTCCCTCGGTCCTGATGGTGTTCCTGCTGTTATCCTTAAGGAGTGTGCCGACATCTTGTGTTCCCCGCTAACTGACATTTTCAACGAATCGTTTTCCAAAAGTATTATACCTGAATCATGGAAAAACATCAAGATCGTTCCAGTGCCTAAATCTACAAGTGGACCTAATGTTAAGTTTAGACCCATTTCAATTACCTCACCCTTTTTGAAAGTTATGGAAAGACTTATTTTACTTAATCTTGATCCCTCTTTAAAACCTTTCAACGACCCCAACCAGTTTGCTTATAAACATAGTAGGAGTACGTTAGATGCCGCTGTCGTCCTCCACCATAGCATAGTCTCTAGTTTAGATAAAGGAGCTAAATACGTTCGCTGTGCCTTCCTTGATTACACATCTGCATTTGACTCTGTTCCCAGGTCTCTCTTGCTAAGTAAGCTTGCTGCAACACAGGCTGAAAGCTGGACAAATAAGTGGTTGCATTCCTATTTTTCTGAAAGGAAGCAGTACACCGTCTACAATGGAAAATCCTCCACTACCTCACTTACTTTAGCTGGTGTTCCTCAAGGTGCTGTTCTTTCTCCCTTTCTGTTCTCGTTTTTCTTACATGACTTGCCTCATTCTGATGTAGCCACTTTTGTTAAATATGCCGATGACCTCTCGGTTTCTATGCCTGTCAACTCTCAGTCAGATTGTTCCAAATTAAATAGCTTTCTGTCGGAAATTAGTCAGTGGTCCTCTTCAAACGGACTTAAGCTTAATCCGTCTAAATGTCAGGTAGTCAATTTCACTTTCAGACGTAAATGTGACCTACAGCAACTAGTTAGCTCACATGGCCCCACTCTCATTGACGGCACAGAGGTTGAAAATACATCTAATGTCAAGTACCTTGGGCTGAGTTTTTCCACCGATCTTTCCTGGTCTTCCCACATCTTGCTAGTTACTAGAAAGATGTTTCGCTTAACGTTCTACATTAGGAAATTTAGGCAGTCTGGCATAAAGCAGTCTTTACTTTCTCAGTTTGTAAATTCTTGTATTCTACCCATCCTCCTTTACTGCTCCCCATTAGTCTTTCCTGGACTACTTAAGAAAGACTTTGCTTCGCTGAGAAGGGCACTAAAAGCTGTTAGTAGGGCAAGTGGGTTATCGTTAAACCAACTGGTGAACACTATTGTAGATAGACATATTATGTCATGTAAGAAACTAGCGAATACAATATTGTCGGACCCCAAGCATCCTCTCTATACGCATCTATCTCCTTGCATTTCATCTGGAAGAACTAGAAGCAGCTACAGGAGGCTATATGCTAGGACTACCAAATACAAAAACTCCACAATACCATATCTGGCACAGCTGTTATGTGATGAGAAATCCGTTAGGTATGACACGATAAACTTACTGCGGCACTCTAACAAATAGTCCCATTAGTTTTTGTTTTCCTTTCCTCGTTACTATCACACTGTTGTTCTCATCTAGTACCACACATCAACTTTATATTTCAAATCCTGTGTTGCATTGTTTGAAATGAAATACTCTACGTTGTTTTTTTTTCTTAATTTTTAATATTTATTTATTTTATTTATTTATAACTAATTTATTTTATTTTTATTTATTTATCTTTGATTTTTAAAAATCTTATATAATTTATGAGGTAATTAGATGCAATATACTGTAATGCACGCTGAAAATTCCATACCTGTACCACAAATACTGTTTGGAATAAAGCTGTTATTATTATTATTATTATTATTATTATTAACACTGTCTTTGGTGCGGACTGATTTCTATCAATCAGGTTTGCAATGTGGTCACCATTCTAGGTAACTCGCAATCATGATGCACGTTGATTAGATGGTATTAGATGGTTGGAGGCAACCGTAAAGAAACCTGGGAACTAGGTTTCGCGATTTTTCGCACTCATCAGCAAGACATATCTGCAGCCTTGAATGAATTCATCTCAACTCATGTAGAATCAACTATCATGAGGTTTTTCCTTAATGCGTAAATCGCTCTCAAGCACGTCATCATCAGTAGATTTCGATGCATACTTCATTTTAATCTAAAAGTATATATCTCTTATGGTTACAACTGGTGGACTGAAACATTCTTTGTATTGTAGCTGACACCCTTCATTTCGTTTTTTTGATTCTGTGCTTACAAAAAGAAAAGCATATTCCTTTAAAATGTGTAGAAAATAACTTCACACTGAATGGATATTCATGCATTCCGTTCTCTATGATTTACGCGTCCGATAACAGTCTTATAAGAACTATGAATTCATCTAGTAATGGAAGGTTGATTCCACCTCACTCTTCATTCTCATCAAGATGGTAGAATCAATGAAAAAATCAAACGACTTGTTCAAACTGAAATAATTATTGACCTGATAAATGAAAACGTTACATCCTCAATAGCAAATTCGGTGTGAAAAATTTCGTTGGTAACATTGAGTCACATATTGAAATTGTATATTCATGTATATGAAGACATGAAAACAAACACACTTTGTTCGACGATTGTAATAAACGCCTTTATTCGTATGAGATGTGATAAAGTAATGAACTACGAACACTCAACACATATTAGCATATCGATTATCATCATCAAAGTCACAAAATATATAAGCAGATAACATGAATATTTTCGATCGCATCAACACAGATCCAGGTGTTTCTCAACGTACATGAATTACAGCCTAATCATTAATGTTAAATATGAAGGATGCATTTCATTCTTAGGGGTTCATTGCTGATTCATTTTCCCTATGAGTCTTTAAATCTGATTATACTTCAGTGGATATGCACACTCTGGATGTCAGTAATGTTGAGGTTGAAATCATACAGTTTATGTCACTATTATTATTGTCATTATTCCCTTGAATTCT